ATTATAATTTTCATTACTTTTTTTTAACACTTTCATTCCAACTGATACTCGTAGACGCTAACGATAATTTATTTACATTACATTGAGAGACAAAAGGTTTAATAATCTGATCATGAAATAAAAATTAATGTTTTTCTTTTATTTAGTTGAATGAATGAAAAATAATGTTTATTGAAATGTAAAACAGTACAGAGGAGAAAAAAGGTATATGAAACGTTATGAAATAAAAAAAAAGGGCTTGCTGGAAGGAAGAAAACAAGTTGAAAAGATGAAGATGAGTTTTGAGAGTAGATTATGCGCTAGGTGTATTGGCCATCGTCTTCAATTTCGATGAGGGTGGCTGAGGGAGCGACCATGTTAAACACACCATTCACACATGAAAAGTAAACACACGGATTTTTTTTGTTCTTATTGTTATGAAAATTAAATGCTTCACTCACAAATGCGAATGTGAGACAAATACGTTTATTCGTTTCTTGTATGTTGAAAAGGAAAGTACTTAGAAAATATTACACATATTATAGTGAATCAGTGTTATTTTGTTTGAGAGTGCCGGAGAAAAGTAAGTATATTATTATTTATTAAATTTTAGTTTTATACTCGTAATTAGCAAAGATAGATAAATTACGCCAATCATGACTTCAGTTATTAGTAGTTAAATATTAAATTAAAATTTTCTATTATTGCTAAAGTGGAACCAGTGAATTTTTACACTTGACAATTTGTTATTATTATTCGTTGTATAATATATTGTTTTTAACATTTTTTGTCGTGTTACTTTAAAATTTTCTTAAAGTTCCATCATATCAAAACCTTAAGTAACATTCATAACATTCCCCTTTTTACATTAATTTATAATGGCTGTACGCCTATGCCTGCCATAAAATCTAAGACCATACGATTTAAATTTGACTTTGATTTTTTTAATATACAGCTGCTGGACTTATTTAAATAGATTAATTTTGCCCACAGATGACTGATGCCATGTCCGAACCTAAAAAGAAATTTAGACAGTAGAGTGTTGATTATTTGAAGCTTGGCTTCATTCCATCATTTTCGGACAAACAATTGCCTATGTGCCTTTTATGTAACGAAGTTTTAGCTAATGACGCTATGAAACCATCTAAGCTGCAGGATCATCTGAGAAGATGTCACCCTGATAAAACAGATAAAGATTTGAAATACTTTCAAACACTCAAAGATAAACTTCAGAAGAGACCCATGCTGGACAGAATGTTAGCTTCGAACATTGTAAAAATTGTTTTACACAAACCTGCATCTGATATCATTAAAAGAATTTCCTTAAGCAACAATACTGTTGAAAGACGTATTGATGAAATGAGTTCTGATATTGAAAGCTTCTTGTGTAATTATTTGCAAACGACCCATTTCTCTATACAACTGGACGAGTCAACTTTACCTGGTAATGCAGCATTATTATTGGCATATGTTCGTTTTATTATGAATCAAGAAATCTACGAAGAACTGCTCTTCGCAAGAACTTTAACAACCGACACTAAAGGTGAATTAATATTTCATGTTTTGAAGGATTACTTCATTGAAAAAGCAATTCCTTTATCAAATATAATATCAGTAGCTACAGATGGAGCACCTGCCATGGTTGGACGTTATCGTGGATTTATAAGCAATTTAAACTAATGAAGCAAATTATTAGACGGGGCGAATTTTCCCAGTTCCCTAATTTGTCACAGACAAACTGCCAGGAAGACGACGTTTCAACAACCTACGTTCAACACTTAAATGCCCTCTATTCAGATTTAGAAACTAGGTTTGAGGACATTTTGACTATGGTAATACCACCGTGGATAATTAACCCATATGGTGACATAGAAGAAACGAATGTCATAATACAAGAGGAAATGATAGAACTAAGTACAAACGAAGAACTTAAGGTTCAGTTTAAAAACGGATATCAGCAATTCTGGCTGCAAAACAAAATATCCATTACTTATCCCGTATTATGGAATATAACAGGGAAACTTTTAATTTCATTTCCATCGTCATACCTAATGGAAAAGGGATTCAGCGCTGTTATGAATCTCCTAACGAAAAAAAGAAACAGACTGGACATCATTAGCCCAGGAGATTTTAGATTAAACCTTACAAAATTGACGCCTAATATTGATAATTTATTATTAAAGCATCAGGTTTATCCTTCTCACTAAAAATAGTTTTATGTTTATTTTATGTTACGTATATTGTATATAACAGATACAACATTTTAGTTTGAGTAGTTTTAATTTAAATTTAATTAATAAATGTATAAAACTTAACATATGTTTTTAACATTAAACTTCACTACAGTTAGAAATTTACAAAAAAATCAATATCAGGTAAGTAGGGGGTCTACCCAAAACTGAAAAACATGGCAAGGGGTCTACGACACAAAAAAGTTTGGGAACCTCTGGTCTGGAGACTATCCTCCAGACTTTTACCGTTTGGAGGCCACGATCTTCCAGAGCATCCTTGACGCAGAGTATTACGTAATTAAATGTTATTAATTATAATAATTTCAATATATACATGCTGGCTTCTCTATAAAACCAAAATTTTCCCCAAAAATAGAAACAAAAGGATTTTTAAAACTTATTTTCTTTTTATTTAACTTTATACAAAACTTAAAATATTAACAAAATAAACTCTCAACAAAATTCTCAAAAACAATAATCTCCGAACCATCATTTTTAGATTATCCTAATTTTTGCATATTATTTTACAAAAATTCGCATTGATTTAAGATTATTGTTAACTATTGTTACAGCTGAAAGAAAAAATATTATTTTAAAATCGACGATTATTTATCTTTCATGTCATAATTTAGGAAATTTATCATTATTTGAAATTGAAAAATTTAAATAAAATAAACTATTGATAATACTATAAAAATTCGAGATCATTTCGATCAAATATACTTTTCTTATTGTATTATTTTTCAATTTAAATTGAATAAAATTACAATAAAGAATTAAGTCAATTCTGGTATGAATTGTATCATAACTTTTTTAATTTGATGTTATGTGATAAAGATTTTTGATTTTTTTTTTCTGCTATTTCTTTAAATTAGGAATAGGCTAACATTAGATGATTTAAAGGAAAGGAAAAAGGAAAAGGAAGTTCAGAAAAATATTAAAAATAAAATAGAAATACATATTTCTTATATTAAAATTACAAATAAAATAATTGTAAAAATACAATATGTGATTTTAAGTTTAAATCTTCACCTGCGAACACTAGCGTTCCGAAATGCCTGTCCTTAGATCTTACATTTTGTTTATTTCCAAGTTAAAATTCAGTCTTTTAATTAAATAAAATAAATAGATAGTGAACCGAAACGAAAGTAATAGTGCCAAAAAGAGATTAATCAAAGAAGCACTACTAAAAAGGTGAATATTGTTTACTTACCTGTTTTATATAAAGTGTTACTTAAAATACTATTCTAAATAAATAAAAACAAAGTGTTGAATATTTTGTATAGTATAGTATATTTAATTAAAAAAAAAATATAGAAACATAGAATCTTAGCTTATTAGAAAACTAAAATAAATTAATTATATACAGTAAATATAATACAATAAATACAATTTTAAATGGAATTATTTCATTTAACATGATTATATGTCAGTTGAAAGCCATGCGTGCTGCAGCAATTCATCCACTGTTGGTCTCAACTCTGGATCCACAACAAGCATTGATTTTATAAAATCAATACATTCCACCGAAATGGAACGAAATGATTCTTCCTCAAATTTCAAAATACCATTCTTAATGTTTGCCATCGTTTCTAGATCTGCTTTGGCTGTAAAAGGTGTATATCCGCTAACAAGGTAGTAAGTCAAAACTCCGATCGACCAGACATCCGATTTCTTCGTGATCGGCTCGTGCTTCAACACTTCTGGTGGAACATAATCCAAAGTTCCTTGTGCCGTTCTCACTTCCTCACCCGATTCCAAATACTTCGCAAGGCCGAAATCACATAACTTTATGTTATCGAAAGAATCTGGTTTCGATAACAGTATATTGTCTGATTTTATGTCCATATGGACTAGGTTTTGGCTGTGCAAAGTGCTAACACTTTGTAACACCTGAGCAATTATAGTTCTGGCATCGATCTCTGATACACAGCCTATCTTTTCAAAAACACTCTTCAGATCACCACCTGCCAAGAAGTCGAAAATCAGTGTAATGTGGCTACTGGTCTCAAAAACCTCATGTAACTGAACAATATTTTTCGATTGACATCTTTTCAAAACCGCTATTTCGTGGTGGATCGTCTCTAGCCAATTCTCTAGTGCTTTGTCCTTTTTAATGTACTTCGCGGCGTACGGCAGCCCTGTCCTCTTATGGATTATTTTCCTCACAATACCAAA